TGTGGTGAAGTTTTTGAAAATTTCCACCTTAGAAGTCCCGAAACCCTTCGTGAAGACTCTTCCCCTGAGGTTCAAGAAATGATTTATGGTCCACCCGCAAAAGCTTTGGTTCAAGCACCACGGAAGCTAGCCCTAGCCTGGAGCCTGTACCTTTGGTGAAGGACAGGAAAATGGCAGCTGAAGACAGCAGGAAGGGTGAGCAGGGTGCTGAGATGAAAAGCCCCTTTTGGTGTAAGGTTTGCAAATGGTTGTTCAGATCCGAGCATGCTGCCGGGTTGAGCTGGGATGAAAGTGGCAAGCCCAAGTGCGAAAAGTGCAAACAGACTGTGACAGTCTCTGGCACGGATGCAAGCCATGCATTCCATCTCCGAGAGGCAGAGAAGGAGCGCCGAGCTGCTGGAAAAAGGGGTGATAAAGGTGAAAGCCGAGGCTCAGGCCAAGCTGCACCGAAACCCAAGGCCATGCCGAAGGTGATTGAACGGATGGTCGACGTGTTTCCGGAGCTGGCGGATCCAGAGCCGCCGAAGTGGTTCGGTGATGTGTCATGGAGTATCTGCCGGCGCGGAACTCCAGTGGATGAGCTAGAGCTCAAGGACGTGGTAGGCACGCTATCCGACAAGGATATGTTGCGCTATCAAAGCTCATACGAGAAGCTGGTGAAGCCCATCCAGGAGGTGTGTGAGCTACAGGAGAAACCCACGAAGATCTTCGGAATCTTGGATGTCCGTGGACAGATTGGTGGCAAGGCCATCATCTGGGAGATGGCAGTGAATGAAGGAGGACTGTACATGGAAGTACCGCCGGGAACGTGTGGCCTGGCGATGTTGAGCTTCGTGAGGTACTTGAAGAGAAAAGGGATAGTCCCTGTTTTGCTTCTGGGTGAGCACCAGGACCTCGGAGTCTTGCGGATGGTGGATCTGTTGTGCATGCTACCCATTTTGGGAGCAGAGAGGATCATGGAGGATGAAGCTGAGAGCTCGTATTATCCCCCATGGGTGTTGCGCTGGAAGAGAAGTGCAAAGGAAGGATCCTTGGTGTTTAAGGAACTGGTGGAGCGAGTGCGAGTGATTTCGATGTTGTCGTGTGATACACTTCGGATTCACGAGCCGGAGCTGAGGGAGAGACCAGTCCCCAAGTGGTCGTTTGTGGCCTACAGCCACTACAGATCCGTGATGGAGTCTGTTGCAGGATTCTTGGAGGACCTGGAGAAAAAGAAAGAGGAGATCACCGACACGCAGAGGGCGGCAAGCTGGAAGAAGGTGGTTGCGAGTGAGACTCGAAGCGGTGTTGTGTGGATCTGCAAGTGTAAGTGGCACTTGCCGACCGACTATGTGGTGAGGTTCAACTTGACGTTGCCTGCCGACATGTGGCAGCAAGCCTTTGGGATCATGGGTGAGAATGTTGGGAAACTCGAGAAGGAGGAAAAGGACCTGAAGCGGATCCTCAAGGCTGCAGCGGAACAGCAAGACCGAGAGTTCGAGGAAGCTGAGCGAAAGCGCAAGCGCATCGCCGACCTGTCAGCTGCCGAGGAAGAAGCTGCTAAGAGAGCAAAGCTGGAAGGCGAAGCGGTTCGCTCGCCTGTGTCAGTTGTACCATCTGAGTTGGATGCAGCAGCTATCGCGCAGATTGCTGAGCGTGTGAAGGCAAGCTTTAGTGTTGCCGATTTGGAGCTGATGTTGGAAGAGAAGAAGAGAAAGGTTGGAGACCAGCCAACTGAGAGGCCTGCGGAGACGCCAGCTGAGCCTAGCCGATCTTCGCAGGATGTGGTGATGGAAACGAGGACGGCTGAGTTGGCGGAGATGAAGGAAGCCGCCAAGGAGCGCCGCGCCAAGTTGATGGAGTCAACTGGAGCTGGCGAGAAGAAGGGCGAAGAGGATGAAGAATGAACTGAGATGCTAAGTGATCTCAGTGGTTGGGTGGGTGAGTGAAACCCGCAGCCATTTTTTTTGGAAGCCATGGCCGCGTTGCCGCCATGGAGCGCCCGCGATTTTTCTGGTTAGTGTGAGCCCTTGTTTCAGTGCATGAGAAGTTTGCAAAGAGGAGGCAAAATGATGATGAAACTCAACGAGGGACTCTATAGCCCCTTCTGCAAGGCGTCTGATTGCCACCTCTGAAGACGTTTTTGGCTGATGGTACGCTGGAAGAAGCGAAACTATGAAGCCAATCTTTTCCTGAAGGATCAGCTAGCCGATGCTAGTTGGTGAGTTTGGTGACCTGGAAGATGCGAGACTGAGGAGGAGTACCACGACAAGGTCGAGTGCTGAGTGGGAAACATCTGAAGCTTGCATTAATTCGTTTTCACGTGTTTGTCACCACGAACTCTTGGATTCGTTCCAAGACAACCCTGCCCCAGTGCAGGTGGATGCAAGTTTAATTCGTTTTTCACGTGGTTGGACAACGAACTCTTGGGTTACCAGTGATGTGGACCCAGGACAACCTGCCTGATGGTGGGATCTTGCATGAGTTTTAAGTTTGATGTCAGAGATCGACTGGTGTGTTGTTTGTTTCGTTTGGTGGCGAGTACGCACCAAGGGAATGTGGCCAGGGCATCCCCTTAGTGTTGAAGTGCCGAGCTGGGCTTGGACTTCAGATCTTTGACATGAACCCTCAGCAAAATGCGGGGGGTGGAAGATTGTGGCTGATCAGTGATGTTTTTGTCATGTTTTGGATCAGCTTGTATAGGTTTGTTTTGCTTCGGAGTGATTGGGAATCCTTGTGATCCCATCCTCGATGGTTTATGCCTCGTTGATTTCCAAGGAAATCATACGAGTGTGTTTTTGCCCAATACGCTATTTAAAGTGAGTGTGCAGTGTGTAGGAACTTCGTTCTGAAGCTGAGTTTAAGCTCACAAGAGAGAATTCGTTTAGTTTGTGCACTTCGTGACTTTTGGCTCAAGTGGCTCTGACTGTGAAAAAGAGAGAGCTGTCCGCACTTGTGTGAGAGGTCAGGGTTCGTGCTTTCAAGGGAAAAGGTACCAGAGGGACCTTCGGTTTTTCACGATACATGCCGCAAGACTACCTTGGGATATTCTTGGTTTGGCAACCCTCTCGTAGTCTATGTCACGGATTGGACCGTGCTTGTCTTCTGTGTGCTCACAGCTTGCAGCTGTGAACACCCGTCTGTGTCGGCCCCGCGGTGTGCCTGTGGTGACGGGGGGCCTTTCTTTTGTGGTTGCTCCACTGGCCATCTGCCACGGACTGCTCTGGACCGGTCCTGCCTGGATGTTCCAGTCTTCCTCTCCTCTGCCCCTCTTTGACCGGGTAGGTGGCCGTTTCTGTGCCATGGCACTGCAAGAACCCCTCGGCTTTGAGACCCAGCTGTCGCCAGACTTGTTGCCCCATCGCTAGACCCTGTCTTCCTCTACCTTGCCCCATCAATTAGGTAGGCTGCTCCTTCTTCGCCATGGCATTGCAAGAGCCCCTTGGCCTGGAGAACCTGCAGTCTCCTCCATTGGTCGCCCCTCCGCTCGCAGCGGGGCGTGAAAACACCTGGATCACGGCGAGCCATGGCAGTTCAACCCTCCCCTTTGTTGTATCCCGGCCGAGTGCGGATGCAGGGGAAGCCAACTCGATAGTGCTTCTCCTCCCTGGTTGTGGACACTTCTATGTGGAGAATATGCACCCACTGCCTTGGCAAGGGGCCATAGAGAACCTGTGGAGCAACCTGGCCTTCAAAAAGGCCGTCATTGCCTGCGCATGGCCTGTGGCGGGACAAGCAGGCTCACCGCCTGCCTGGATGTTGCCTGACGGTGCTGCCTGGACCAAGGCAGTGTATACAATGGAAGTTCTACCGCTCCTGCAATGTCGCATTTTGCGATTCCCCCACAAGCTCCGTGCTTCCTTGTGAACCGGGACTTCATTGACGACCTCGAGTACTGAGTCCGTGGGGTATCTAGTAGTTTAGCGCGATTGCTCGCTTTGTTTCTTCGGTGTCTGTTCTTTGGTGGTTTCGTGTTGTGTCTGGCGGGTTGTGTGCGCTGACTCTGTTTCACCCTTTTCGTCGAGCCCAACAAGACCGGCCTACTGTGCTACTGATGTAGTAAAGAGGCGCCAGGGGAAAAAAAAAAACTGCAACCGTGCCTTTAAGAAAAACAAAAAGAGTTTTCACAGTGCTTTCAAAAATTTTCTGCATGCCAATCTTTCTTGTTCTCTCTGCATGTCACCTTGACAGCTTGTATGCAGTCTTCATGCCCGGTAACAGTGGCTGACAGCTGAGAGATGCAGAAAATTCGCTTTGCTTTGGGCCTGAGGCTGCGTTCGCGTTTTGATCCTTGCGGGGCCTCTGCCGCCTTTTCGGCCAGTTTTGTTGCGCCCACGAGCCTTCTACGACGATCTGTTGCGTGATCAGATTGCTGCTCCCCCCAGCCTTTGGTCTTTTGTCGCTGACAGCAATTTGGTTGCCGTGCTTCTGAGCCAGAGCGAGGGATCCAGGATTTTGCTGGCATTGCCTTTTCGCAGCTGGCCGTTGCTGCTTTGCACGGCCAAGGGTCCTCACGCTTGCTTTCGAGTGCTGCTCGCTTTGCCTTCTTAAGCATGTCCGATCCGGCCAGTGCTACTGACGCCTCCGGTTCGGCCAGCAGCTGGGTCGCAGTCGCGGAGCATCCTTTCCCACCTGAGCCCCCGACCTTCCTGACTCCGCCTGCCTGTGCAGTGATTGCACTCGAGGCCCCTGCGCCTGGGCCGCTGACTGTGCTTTCGGATAAAGGGGGGAGTTTAGGGAATGCTTCTGTTGGGGGGAGTTTAGGGACTGCTTCTGTTCTTTCCGACAATGTCTCTGTGTCCGATGGCGACTTCAACGTCACCGAAGATGCAGGTGTTGGCCCGCTGGGGGCTTGCTCTCCTGACACGGAAGATGACGCCCGTCATCCTGATTCTGAGGGTTGCACAGGTTTACCTCTCGAGTCAAGCGTTGACACCAGCTTCATTGATCAGATTGTTTGCCAACAGGTTGTTGCATCCCGAAATTTGACGCAAATCCGTCTACCGTGGGAACAAGGTCCTATGAAGTGCATTTTCAGTGATGATGCCGACTTTGCTGTGCAATCCCCATCCTTGGAGCCCTTGTTACCACCTGAGGTGAGCACGCCTGACCGGATGGTCGAGTGCTTGGACCGTGTGCCCGACCTGAGGTCCTTCTTTCAGACTACGATTTCCAATGTTGCTGACTGCAATATTAATGAGACCCTTGGAAGTTTGCTTCACATTGCAATCAATAAGTTGTGTGTCGTCGTGGAACGGTGCACAGGGCAACCGCCTGACCCTGAGGATTGAGGCCAGGACGGGGCTCCGCAGTCCCTACACGCTGATCAAGAGGGCCAATTCCCTCCTCGCCTACCTTCGTTGGGTCGATGGTCAGCCCCTTGCAAATCTGTCCTTCTCGGGTGTGTTCCAAGAGACTCTTGTTTGGGAACATTTTCAGTACTTGAAGAAAGAAAACAAGCCTCCGACCAGCGGTTCGACGTTGCTTTCTGCCATGCGGTTCTTGCACTATGTCCTTGAGGTGGATGTGCAGGTATGCATTTCTAGCAGGCGCATCGTCGGTGCCAGTCAGCAGCTGGCTGCTAAGACCCGATGGCTCAAGCAGGCTCGTGCACTAACAGTTGATCAGGTTCGCAAATTGCATGAACTTCTCGAAGGCAGCGACGACCCCCTGTTGCGTTGCTTCGCTGAGTATGCCTTGATCGCCGTCTATGGACGATGTCGGCACTCTGACCTGCAGTGCATCTGGGACCTGGAGTGCGATTTCGATGGTGTTTCGGGCTTCCTGCAGATTCGAACGGGTCGTCACAAGACCTCGACCACCGCTAAGAAAAAGGCGCAGTTTCTGCATATCTTGGTCCCTGCACAGGGAGTGGTCTCTCGTCCCTGGTTGCCTCTTGCAATCCAGGCGTTTGAAGCCGTTAACCTGTGTTTAAGTGGCAAGATTGACGGGCCCATTTTCCGTCACCCCTTGATGCTGAGTGCTCTGCCCTCTGTGCTCGCCCCGTGTCTTCGCAAGAAGTGTCCAGGATGCTTCGTCAAGCCCTCGATTTGCCTGAGGATTCGGGCGTGTCCTCACATTCCCTCAAGGTCACTGGCCTGTCCTGGGCATCCAAGGCTGGCACGCGCGCTGGCATGGACCGTGATACTTGTGCTGTCTTGGGTCGGCATGCTCGCAATCAACTCACGACTGAGGTTGTGTACAGTCGTGATCTCAGCGCGGCCCCGTCGTTGGCCTTTTCTCGCTTGTTACATCAGGTGGCTCTTGGGGTGTTCGTGCCAGATGCTCCTTTACGTGCTTTCTGGAGTGAGTCCTGTGAAGCTTCTCCTGGCCCAACACCGATTTTGCCTGTCGTGAGACCCTCCGGAGCCATCAAGGTTGAAGATTCCGCCTCCGAAGCCGAGGAGTCTGCGCATGAGAGTAGTGAGGATTCCTCTGATTCTGAGGCCTCCCGAAGCAGCAGCTCGGACAGTGTGACCCATTCCTCGAGCCCTCCCCTCAGCAAAAAGGCCCGCCGCTTTCTGCCTGAGACGCGAGATGAGTCCGACGTCTGGGTGATCCACCGTCGTTCCCGCAAGTTGCACTTGGTCCGCGGCCAAAGCAATCTTGATGCGCACCTTCAAGTTCTGGCATGCGGACGTGTGCGCTCCGATGCGTACAGAGTTGCCGAGGATGCCGACCTGGATGCGGTCGGTTGGCGACGACATGATCAATGCTTTCATGCCATGATTTGTTGTGTTGATTCCTGAATGTTTGTTTTCCATCTTGATGCTCAGGTACACTCAGTCATGTGAAGTTGATCGAGTACACTCAGTCATGTGAAGTAGGTGCCCCCAAGTAGCCTCTCGAGTGCGCTGCGTGAGAGCCCCATGTCTGTGCTGGAGTCTGCCGCTCACTTTCAGGCGAGATGCAAGCTGTTCCGCATCGCATCGGCGAGCCCCTCATCCGTACCTTGACACGTCTGGGTTTTGAGACTCTTGGGCAGCTTGCTTATTGCGTGGGGCAACCAGGTCAACAGTTAGCCGATGATCAGTGGCATACTTGGGTCCAAACCTCCATCCCCTCTGCATCAGCAGGGGAAGCTGCGAGCGTACGCCGGCTCGTCTTCGAGGCGCAAACACTTATATACCTTGGCCGATCTCAAGGACCAGGAGACCAACCCCAGTGCCTCTGCCGCCCGACCCCTTGCAGAAGCAGAGCGCGACAAACGCATGGCGGCTTTAACGGCCAAGGTTTCCGGTGTGATCATAGAAGGTGATGCGGAGCCCAGCCGGGCCCTGTTGGAATTATCGCCCCTGAGAAATGCACCTCCCGCTTAAGCGAGGTGGCCCTTGCTAAGCCCCTCGCCCGTGTCGTTGAGTTGGAGCAGCAGCGGCTTGTCCTCAAGGACCAGGAGCTCCCGTGTGACGCCCAAGTTCACAACCCCTTGCTCCTCTCTGCAGCATTCCGTCGTCGAGGACTGGCGCTGGCATTTGCCGATGTGGTTGATTTTCTTGCACATGAAAAATATGTCAACGAGCTGATGCGACACCTGACAAACCCAGACGCCCTGCCAGGGGGTGCTTGCCAGCTGCATCAAGTTGTCGAGGCTGACCATGTGTGGATGCTTGAGAAAGGAATCCGGCCCCGGCGCAAGAGTGATGGAACCCGTGCCATGGATGACGCCCTCTTTGAAGCACTCTCGTCATATCGTGTTTCCTTCGTTTTGATCCCTCGTGGAAGCACGGCCGGCAAAGCCCAAACGCCCGATGGCAAAGCCATCTGCTACGGGTTCAGCCTTGGGGAGTGCCGGGTGGCCAACTGCTCCCGTGCCCATGTCTGCGCGCGATGTTTCGGCAATCATAGCCTCATGCAGTGTCAGCGCAAAGAGTGACTATCGCCAAAAGCCGCTTCGACCAGTGTCACTTCGAATTCGTTTTCTGCTAGCCAGCCTGAGGTGGCGAAGGTGTTTGACCTTCCCCCGCAGGTGCTGACTCCTGCCCTTTGCACAGATGAGTCTCGCGATCTCCCCGCCTCAGGCCAACCTGTTCTGGAAGTTCGCGACCGGGCCAATCTTTCTCCTGCATCCAAGCCCCTTGGTGAGCCCGTGTCTCTGCTCCCTAAGTCTCCTCCCTCCCCTAGGCCCCCGGTTGCTCCCTCCTTAAGCACCTGCACTGCCGAGCCCCACCCTAAAGCACCTGTAAGTGAAGCGAATGTGCCGGTGCCAGTCCGTGCTGATAACGCATCCTGCTCTGCTCCCAGGCCCGCTGTGGCTCTTGACTTACGTGAACAGCCTTCGCCCTGCCAGTGGGTCGTGGACGTGGCTCGTGCGGAGCATCTTGCCCGCACCTTTGTCAACAGCCCTTCGCTGGAGGCTGCCAGGCGCATTCTTTGCCTGCTTCCCTCTGAGGTCCCTGCACGGGGCCACGCGCATAGTGCCTCTCACTCCTGGACCTGCGGCATGTGGACCTGGGGTGCCCGTGCGGGCGTTCGCGGCTTCACGAAGCGTTTCCCAGCTGTGTCACGGTTCTTTTGTGCTCTGCTTCGCCAGCACTTCCCTGGCCACGCATTCACGAATGCTGCTGTGTTCACAAACCTGCGCGCGGAACCGCACGTTGACTCCTGCAACGTGCCTGGTTTCCCCAACCTGCTTCTGCCGCTCAGCCTTTTCCGGGACGGCGATGTCTGGCAAGAATCTCCCGTTGGCGGTGTTCCGCTGGCGGGGCACGATGTCCTGGGCATACGGCTCCGCGTCAGTTTGGGGCCCCAGACCTTAGACGCCAGCCGCCTGCATGCCACACTTCCTTGGAAAGGCGTTCGGTGTTTGCTTGTGGGATATTGCCTTCAGGGTTGGGAGCGGCTGTTCGAGAAGGAAAGACAGGAGCTCCTTAGTTTGGGTTTCCTTAGTCCCGGTTCCCTAGTCCAGCCTGCCCCTGTGCGGCCCCTCACGCCCCCCACCCCGCCTTTAATTTTGGAGTTGTTTTCCGGATCTGGTCGCGTCACTGCGGCCCTGCGTGCACTTGGTTTTGGACAAGGTCAAAAGCGTTGGGTGTGCCGCCCCGCCCTGGGTGCTCGATGTCTCTACGCCAGACGGCCTTGCCCAGCTGCTCCAACTTGTGCAAAACCCGCGCGTCTTGGGGTTGTTCGCCGCTCCGGCTTGTGGCACGTGTTCTATGGCCCGTGGCATTCCATGCTGGGACAGCCAGGGCAACCCGGTGCCTGTGCCCCGGCCTCTGCGGTCAGACCGTCACCCGGACGGTATGCCCGATCTCCCCCCCGGTGATGCTCGCTTCGCCAGGCCGTGCGCCTGGGTTTGCAGCGTGGCATCTTGATTGCTGTGGAGAATCCGCGGTCATCCTTGTTTTGGAAGACTTCCTTTTGGCGCGACGTGGCTCATGCTTTCCGCTATGTGGATCACCAGGCGTGCGCCTATGGTGGCGACCGTCCCAAGTTCACCCGGATTGCCTACACGCATCCTTCTTTCGAGTCCTTGTGCAAACTGTGCCCCGGCTGCCCTGTGCACGCGTCTTGGGGCGTCGACCCCACGGCCCCCAACGGTTTCGCCACCAGTCGGGAGACCGCCTACCCTCGTCCCTTAGCTCATGCCATTGCACAGTGCTTCGCGAGTGCTCTTCCCACTGTCGAGCCGCCGGGCCTCCAGCTTCCGGCGTTGCGCAGCTTGGCTGGACTTCAACCAAAAGCTAGCAAAGTGCCACCCTTGGTCCCGGAGTACAAGACCACTTGCGTGGTCCGGGGGCCCGCCGCCAGCCTGGTCCCGCCTTGCCAACCCACGCAACGCCTCGAGCAGGCTTGGCCGGTGCCTGCGGATTGTCAATGCAGCTTGACAGTCATACCTCCCTATGCTCAGTTGCTGCGTCTCAGTCCGGTTAAAATGGGAAAGCAGGATGAGGAAACCCGTAGGCATGTTGAATTGGCGTGGGGCATTCCGTGGTCGCCAAGTGAATTCATTCAGTGTGCTTGCAAAGCTGTCCACCCTGTGGCCCAAGAAGCACAATTACCCAGCGAACTTCTTCAAGCCGTCGAAGTGAACTGCAATGCGACGACAGCGTCGGCCCTTGAAGAGAAGCGCACAGCTTGGTTTGAAAAATGGTTCAAACGGTGCTTGGAACTCAGGACAGAAGAATGCAAACTCAAGGATGGCATGCATCCCGACGTTCGAGGCATCCTTGAACCTAAAAACCTTCTTGTCTGGCGCGAAATCTTAGATGACCTCAACTACCCTGACAAAACAGTCATCGAGGAGGTGATTTCAGGGACCGTGTTGACTGGTGAAGTTCCGAGTACTGGGTTATTTAACCCTGTTTTCAAACCCGCTGCAATGTCCGAGGACTTGTTGCGAGACACCGCCGATGAGGGCAGGCACAGTGTCTTCCGGAGTGTTAAGTCGCAGGGTGACATGCTTGACCAAGAGGTAAAAATGCAAACCCTTGAAGAGCTACAGAAAGGTTGGTTGGAAGGGCCCTTTGATCCGTCTGAGCTGCCTAACGGTTCAGTAGTCTCTCGCCGGTTCGGGATCCAGCAAGGGTCAAAGGTGCGCCTGATCGACGACCTCAGTGCATCGCACGTCAACTCGTGTGTCCAAACAAATGAGTCTCCAAAGCCCCATTCCACCGACGTTCTTGCTGCACTTGCCATTCAGCTCATGAGGTCCACCAATGAGCCACTCTTGGGTCGTACCCATGATTTGAAAGCAGCGTATCGACAGCTGGCGGTGTCCCAGAGTTCCGCTTGGTGCTCGTTTGTTTGCATCTGGGACCATGAGCGTGCCGCCCCCGTATGCTTCAGGCTCAAAGCGTTGCCTTTCGGCGCGTGCAGAAGCGTTTATTCGTTTCTACGCGTCGTGCATAGCATCTGGTTCATAGGGACTGTTGGGTTAAGCCTCCCTTGGGTTTGCTATTTTGATGACTTCATCACGATTTGTTCGGGCAACCTTGCACACAGCACTGACGATACCATCAAACGCTTATTCAAGCTCCTGGGCTGGACACTGTCCAGTGACGGAAAGAAGGACTTGCCGTTCAGGAGGTCTTTCGAAGCTCTTGGCATCGTCGTCGATTTGGAGGAGAGCGCGAACAAAGTTGTGAAGTTTGCAAACACCCATCCAGGGTGAGCGAACTCTGTGGGTCCATTGGCGACGTACTCGACGCTGGTGCCCTCAAACAGCCGTTAGCCTTGAGGTTAAGGGGACGCATGCAGTTTGCTGACAGTCAATTGTTTGGAAGGTCCGCTAGGATGTGCCTCAGACAGGTCACCAAGCACGCCTATAGTGATGTGTCCGATACCTTGTGTGAGGATTGCGTTTTCGCTTTGGACAGGTTCAGGAAGATGCTTCTGGAGCACAAACCCAGAGTCTTGAATGGATCTTTGCGAGAAAAATTCGTCATCTTCACGGACGCCTGCTTCGACCCAGAGGCATCGGACTGGGTGTGCGGTATTGGCGGCCTGCTGTTCTCTGACAGAGGTAAACTTCTAGGCGCCTTTTCCGAGCAACTCGAGCGCTGGCAGATGGAAGCATTGACCGAGGGTTTTCGAAAGACAGTCATTTTTGAAGCTGAACTTTTGGCAGTCATCGTTTCGCAGCTTGTGTGGGGACACGTTATCAGACATGCACCTGTGCTGTGGTTCGTTGATAACAACGCCTCCCGCGACATCGCGATTTCAGGCTGCACGAGATCTGACAATGCACAAGCACTTCTAAATGTCTTGCTGGAGAGCGAGGAGCAGTTCGATGTCAAAGCATGGTACGCCAGGGTTCCTTCTCCGTCTAACCCTGCTGACCATCCCTCTCGAACAAAGCTGGAGTCATACGTTCATGGCAATACTTTGGTTGGTGCAGTTGACGTCCGTCAAACCCTTAAGGCTGTTTTCGAAAACTTCTTAAGGAAAAAGGCAAAAAGGTGAAAGTCGGATAATGTGGGGAGTTTTTGCTGGGTTCGTAATGCAACTTTGCAAGAGGTGCCAAAGTAGATTTACACAGGCTTTCCAAGGCAGAAGGTTTGTCTTTGCGTGGCATGAGGCCCGCATGTGCATGCTTGCCCACGCTTCCACGTGAAAAAAGGAACGTCCGAGTGAGTGCGTTGCTGTAAGCGTTGCGCTCTCCCTGAACCACACCAAGTGTAGGCTCAATGTGTCTTTGTGCTTTGTTGGCTTAAAGGTAAGCTTGAGTGGAGCACGAAGCTTGCTGTCAACTTGTTGATAGCGCCTTCGTGAGGAGCGAATGCTTAGGTTGCCTGCAACCGTGCCTTTAAGAAAAACAAAAAGAGTTTTCACAGTGCTTTCAAAAATTTTCTGCATGCCAATCTTTCTTGTTCTCTCTGCATGTCACCTTGACAGCTTGTATGCAGTCTTCATGCCCGGTAACAGTGGCTGACAGCTGAGAGATGCAGAAAATTCGCTTGGCCCGCCCGCCCATCCCAGTGGGTGTGTCCGATCCGTGCCTGACGGATCCTGCCTGTGGATCTCCTTCTGCCTGCATGGCTCCCCTCATCCGGGGGGAGTTTTTGCTGGGTTCGTAATGCAACTTTGCAAGAGGTGCCAAAGTAGATTTACACAGGCTTTCCAAGGCAGAAGGTTTGTCTTTGCGTGGCATGAGGCCCGCATGTGCATGCTTGCCCACGCTTCCACGTGAAAAAAGGAACGTCCGAGTGAGTGCGTTGCTGTAAGCGTTGCGCTCTCCCTGAACCACACCAAGTGTAGGCTCAATGTGTCTTTGTGCTTTGTTGGCTTAAAGGTAAGCTTGAGTGGAGCACGAAAATTTTAGGGATTGCTGCTCCATTTTTGTCCACAGACAGCACGCCTGCAACGACAGCTGTCGTGTTGAGCTGAAGTAGAATCTCTTGTGGAGGTGGTCTGTGTGTTCGCAGCCCGTGAATTGTTGTCCTTGTTGCTGCTGGTTGCGGCTGCAACAGTACTGTGCAGTTGGCTGTGCCCTGTACAGAAGACCCCACTGGCTGATCACCATGGGGCAAACTGGCGGGCACTGGTGGTTCACTGCAGGTCTTGGTTATGACAATAGTCGGACATCGACCGCTGTGGAATCTCGAATAGACCGTCCGTCCTTGGAATGTCTGCCAAGACTACTGCGAGCATGCAGACATCCTATTTACTGGCATTCAACTTACCCTGATGATTACGTGATGGTGATTTTGACTTCTGGCACACAATCGCATGTTGCGATTCCCCCACTCGACTTGGTGCTGCATTGGCTCCGAACAGGGACTACATCGACGAGCTTGGGTACTGAGCGCGTGGGGTCTTATTAGTAGTCTCGCCGCCCCTTCTTGGTTTTGGTTGGTTCTTGTTTTGCTTGTTGTTGCTTCGGTTGGTAGTGTTGTTCGTCTTTCTTGTTCTTCTTGATTCTCACGGCGATATGTTTCACACCTAGTTGCGAGACCCACAAGAACGGCCTACTGTGCTACTGATGTAGTAAAGAGGCGCCCGCTTTAAAAAAAGGAAAGGGTCAATAAACCCGCGGCTATTTGGCTCAAGATGGCCACTGACAACCTGTGGCAAGAAGGAAAAGGTAGTTGCGTGTCCGTGAGGGTTTGGTGTTTTGGGTTGGTGCCCCGTTGCTTAGTCAAGGGTAACCCTTACTCCTTCCCCCTTCCCTTGGTTATTCTCCGCTTTCTGTTTGTGAAATTTAGAGGAATAAAAGTTAGGGATATAATATAGGCCCGGGGCAAAGTGAAGAGAGCACAACATTTTTATTGATAAGGGCTCCTAGAAGATTAAAAGGGGAAACGGCCGTATTGTTGGTTACGTACGCAGTAAACTCACTACCTCTGTCTTCTTATCAAAAGGCTTTCTAGTTTATGGAAATTGTGCACGCCTGAGCGATTTTATTCAGTGAATAGGATTACAAGCGAACACTATTAGTAAACTTAGGAAATAGCAGTGTTTACGCTTTCTCTTCGCGTATGAATAATATAATTGTAAACGTAATAAAGACTTCTTTCTTCCTTTTAAAAGTTGTGAATAAAACTATAATCTTATGAGCAGATTTGCCGTTCACCTCTGGATTCATCATTCAATTGACTTTTTATTAATTTTCTCTTCGTTTACCTTTAGGAGAAGTCCTTTATCCCCTCACTCATAATGGTGTTACCGTGAGGATAAAGAGCTTCCTACACACGGTTTTCTCCTTGATTGACAAGGCGCACCGATGATTGGCGTGTTCACGTGACTGACCAAAAGACCGCTCCTAGAAAGCCAACATCCTTAATTTGGGCGAGCAGTGTGTGGAACATGGTTAATGATTGGATTTTCAAGCCTGGCACTTTCACTTCGGTTGCTTCTTTCAGTGTTTCAGGCGCGACGCCTTAACGTTAAACGCTAGGATGATAACAGTTTCACTGCTGTCACTGGTCCAAAGGCAGGTACGCAGTTTCGAGAGTGTAGACGCAGAGCATTGCAAGGCGCATTGATTTCAGAACAGGTGTTGTCAGACGTACTGAGTCCGCAAATCCGTCCAAGGCATTAGTGCAGCAAGACCACCTGCGCAGGCTGCAATTTGCACAAACAACACCATCGAGTTTGGGGTATAGGGTTTAGGGTTTAGGGGCACGCACATGGACACATGGAAAATAGGGTAGCGCAGTTGCAGGATTCGGGATTCAAACATCAGCGAGAAGGAAACTGCACGACTTGAAACCATAAACCTTATCCCCAACCCAAAAACCTCCCCATCCCAATTGGCGAATCGATTCCATACCGTTGGTTTCATGCTTGGCGTGCCATGGGAGCTACGCAGGGCTTGACAGCTATCTGTCAGCCATGTGCTGCCGGCGCGTGTTTGGTTTAGGGTACACTGAATGGAAGCTTAGGATTTAGACGTTAGGTTGAAACGGTTATTCCACATTACATATCTAGAAGCCCCATGCCCTATGTCCTTGAATCCTCAGCCCTACAAAGTCCGAATCCCCAGACCCCGACCGGTAAACCCCGAGGCGTAAACCCTAAACCTTAAATCTGAAACCCAAAACCCCAAGCCACGATCCGCGCCAAGCTCCGCAGACCTTGTGCCAGGCTACAACGAAACCTGTTGTGACGATGACACGTTGGCTGAAGCCTTGGTTACCCATGGTTTCGATGACCCTGAACCCTTAAACCCAAAACCCTAAATCCAAAATCAAGACCTAAGCCCTACGCCCTTTTCGGTTTTCAGATTTGGGTTTGAGGATTTGAGTACAAGCTTCTTTTCGGTTTTGGGGTTTGTGCCTGCCGGGTTTCAGAGGCACGGAAGAGCCCTTGAAGTTAACCAGTTTCAGGAGGGGATTAGGGTTTAGGGCTTTAGGTAGTATATTCCTATTTGGGCTCATGAGTACTTTGTTGGGGGAATATGGGCTTGTTACACCGTCTCTTTTACACCTTTGATCAATTGTATCATCAATTGCAAGTGAGATTGGGCCGAGGATGAGAAGTCGACCACCTACACACGGCCGCTCACGGTGCACGGTGCAGGGCCCAAGAGAGAGCGGTCTAGGTTCGCTTTTGGCTTGCTTCGGTTTAAAAGGGGTTTAGGCTTGAGTAGGGTTCAGTCAGGGTTTACTTTTGGGTTAGGGTTTGTACCCAGCTAAATATACTTTGAAGCAAGAACATATAAGTAGAAGAGCAGTCGACGTGATCTTGTTCAACTTTTATCACAAGAGATTAGGAAGTGGCAAATCGATCAGCGGATTTTGGGCAGATCTGCAGTCAACTCTTTTGCATGATAAAGTCGGCAAAATCATGCTCATCTTTAGACAAGAAGAAAGAACAACTTCATTCTTTCGCCTTTTTCTTCCACTAAGAAACAAGACAAGGAGCCCCCTGACTACAGTTTCTGCAAAGGTCCTGTGGCCCAATGGATAAGGGAGCCGGGGGTTTAGAGTTTAGGGGGTTGGGGTTTAGGGTTGAGGGTTTAGGAATGCTGACACCTCCTGGCCCGTCTGTCCTCCGCCATGGCTTCAGTCGAGGGAGCCCCCCCGTTAAGCGGAAAGGCCAGCGGCATCAGCACCCTCAGACCCTCAAGCCTCAACACCCTAAACCTTAAACCTTAAAGCCTAAACCCTAAACCCTAAACCCTAAACCCTAAACCCTAAACCCTAAACCCTAAACCCTAAACCCTGAGGC